CAACCGCCAGGAACCCGCGATCTGTTATAAATTCATTCCTCAATGTTTCATTTGAAGGAAAGATTGACTGATTATGTATTATATTGTATTATTTTCGTCTGGCATTTCTATGGGTTGAATACTAATTTTGTATTCTTTGTGTCAAGCTAACACCTTAAATGAAAATTAAATGGAAAAAATAGGAGTGAGGAGAACTATTTTGTGGGGTATTACCGATCCATGAAGTGCCTGCGTGACGAAATAATTGGCGGCTAGGAGTCCTGCTGCACCTAGTGTAGAGCACAGTGCACAAGCGGCTGCTGCACATGAAGGGGATTCTTCAGGTGCGAGATCAGCTATCGCAGCTAATGCCCCAGCTGGAGCTGTTCCGGAGACCAAAAGGGCAGCTATTCCTAACCAGGCTGCACCCAGTGCTTGACACCCTGCGTAACCAGCGACGAAGAGAAGAGCCGCCGGAATAAAATGCGCTGGAAGGGATTCCATCGAGATATCAATTTTTCAGGGAATAATCCCGAATTCAACCCCAGAAATTCATGAACAATTTTATTCACAATGAAAATTGAATAATAGCGACAGCTTAAATTTCAAAACCAATAATAAAAGTCCGGAATAAAACCCAACCAAACCCCAAAAAAACAAAAAATCAAAAGAAAAAATTCCTCAAATCCCCAAAATTTCAAAAATTTTTCATTGCCATAGAGACCAGAAAATAGTGAATTCATTAAATATTCCCGAAATCAACTGGAGGAATTCAAAGAATTTCCGGAATCTCTCGGAATGAAAGACTCGAAGTACTTGACTCAATCGTAAGTAATAGAGAGTGAAGAAACTATTGAATCGAGTCACGCAATATTTCTCATTCTCACGCACCAATGGAGTATTAACCGTAATTACCTGTATAAACAACTAATTTTCTCGCTGTCGTTGTGGAGACTATCTTGGCCTCTCTCACGTGATCAACCAGCAATCCACAGGTGAGAGCAGCCATAAAGTGTCCAATGTGGGGCAAAGTTGTCAGCACAGAATCCTATTGACATTCCAAGGTCAAATATTACTGCATCACGATGAAAGTGAAGCCTATTTTTCAACGATAAACATCTTCATTGTGTCAGTTGCCAATGGACTTACGTTAGCAGTTGAGAAACCGTAAATGAGCTTAAGGTACTTGGTCATACCGAGTGAGAGAGTGGCATCACCCCACTGATTACCCATTGTAGCCACTGCTGATGCCCACACCGGTACTGAACGTAGCAATTTTCCCCATGGTATCACAGCAGCCTACAATCCACATGTAAAACCATTGTAATCCAAAAATTATAACTGAGATATAGTGTTTTCACTGGCATCATCCCTCAATTACACCCAACATCTTCAATATATAAAAGGGACCTTCAATGCAAGTGGTGAGATATATCTGTACAGATATATCCAAAAAATATATCGCGGATAGAAGGAAGGAAAATCCTACTGCTATAATAATCGAATGTTTTCTCGTTTTTCTCGTTGAATTATTTATTTATTTAATCGTTGGATGATTGGTTTTGAAAATACTCACGTTTGTATCGTGTTGATAGGACTTTGGAGTATCCTTGACAAAATGACCAAATGTAAAGTACCAACAGAGGGCTATCAACACGAGTCCATAACAAAGGGAATCCCTTCCAAATGATCGGACAACTGCAGTCCCTATCCATCCGGTGAGGCAATATCCCACACTGACAGCTGTGGAAATTACCAATAACGTATCATTGTCAATTCAACAAGATTGATGATACGGGCAAGTTATTTTCGTCGAGATCAATTTGTGATTTGAATTTTTTATCGAAAGATCATGATAATGCAAATATTTTACCATATTATAATGTTATGACCTTTCAAAACATATTACTGGGATGATGAGGTAATTTTTACCTGCGTAGCAACTAAAATACCAGCTCCTATGATTACTCTTGAACCAAGTCATAGCGAACATGTGAGCTGCAGGCATCGTCGCACCCTGGACATTCGTAGAAACATTAATTAAGGATTTGATGATCGAAACGTGTAGAAAAAATTTGAATGGAGAATGTTCTTCGAATTATTCTCTTTAGGGAACGTACTGTGCACATGCCCTGGAATAATCGAAGTGCGACATGAGACGGGCCCTTCCAGGCTGCTGGGACTAAAAGAGAGGCTAAACAGGCACTCAGGACTGCCCTGGAGAAGACCATCGAGGGCCCAGAACGTCCCCAGACGAGAGTTCCACCCAGAATTGGTCCAGCCACTTGTCCCCAGAGAAATGCTTCTCGCATATTCGATTCGATCCTCTCAACTGGTAATAGCTGCATCAAAAAATATCGATGCAATGATTAGAGACTATTCATCATTACAGTCGTCACTTTTTCATCACATTTGAAAGGCTGGTAGTTTTATCTACCATAATCAAGGATTATAGGTCGATTGACACTTTTTTTCAAAAGGGATTTTGTTGATTGATACTCGGTGGTGTTACCTCGAAGGCAATGATTTGGACATCCTCTGTGCGATTTCGACTACTGACGTTGACGAGCATGTCACAATGCCAAGAAGTATCGATGATTGCATGATTGTCCTCGAGATTTGCAAGCAGAGCAACTGAAGAACTGACTTCCACTGCACCGCAGAGAGCAAAACCTACTCCTACGAGGCCAGCTACTATGTGTCGTGCTCTCACAGCCGCTGAAACAATTTTATTCTTCATCAATATACAGTAATAAAAATTACTCTTGAAATTTAAAATGAAAAGGATTAAAATTTCTGACAATTCGAAATTGAATTGAAAATTCCATTCCATTCCTGATCTGACGAATCTGATGATTTCTTTGAAATGGTTTCAATCAAATTTTTTTTTTTAACCCTAATAACCCTTTACTGGAAGTGGAGCACCAATTTCCAAAATATTCGTAGCCATCACAATTATTTTCCTCACTCAACAGCACATCGTATTCTCCACATTACTCTTGCGTAATTAGGCGACGCGGGAATAATATTTGCGCTGAACAATAATTTAACTGGAGCCACCTCACGTTATCTCAAAATACAAATACAATTCACCGAGTTAATTCCGTCTATTCCCTCAAGTTCACTTGAGTGAGGCATTCCACGGATACCCCAGGGCCTCATTCCACAAAATTCATCTTCATATCCCCCATTTTTTAAGATTATCAATTAAACAATTTCTCCACCAAATCCTATTGAAAACAGTAAAAAATAATCCGCTCGTAAAATCCCTCCGGGTGATTTAAATAAAAAAATTCAGTACCAAGGAAGTAAACAGTGACAAAATTTCGTGTTCCCTAGTCCCTCTTTGCGAAATATCTACGAAAATAAAGGAGATATGCAAATGTTTCTCGGAACTTCTTTTGTTAAGCGAAATCAGAACTATAAAAAAGATTTATCAAGTATTTCGCTGTCTCCCTTATTTTTAAAGATATTCCTG